CAGGAATATCTGTAGTGTGAACAGCTGATAGTCCCTGTGAACACTGGAAAGGAGACAAGAACCTTCCAGAGGAGCAGACTGCAAGTGCCAGCACTGAGCACAGCCAGCATCAAGTGCCATGTGAATCTGATCAAGTTCTCTACCCAACCCAACAACAGACGGTGACAACCCACGACTCTGCATGAGGACTGTCCACATTGTGGCTGAGCTGCTACACTAACCCTGCCCATGCACTTCCAGAGCTTGTCACATCTCCAGTGGAACAGGGGAGCTGTGCAGTTCATAAATTGCACATATCTGTGAATAAAATGTTTTGGTTTCCAAATTCGTTTGGGCATTGTGCTGTCTATTGGTCTTAAACCACAAAATCAGACTCATTAGGAAATTTGCAAAATAGTAAGAAATTTAAAGACACTGCCCTTGGTAAACCAGTAACTTCCCTCATGTTAAATTTTAGAATCTGTAAGAATATTTCCAGTATTATCCACTTGCACCTTGCACCACTTGCACAAAAACCTTTAGGGGGGTTGTGCTTTTAAAATGGAATACTGTTTCCAGCAATACATCTTCCTCTCTGTCTTCAAAGTATAAGCTTTTATAAAATATAATAAAAGCAAAAAATACAAAATATAATAATTAAAACAGACCATCACGGATGTGCAACAAATGACTGATCAGCCAAATCTTGTTTGTAGATGAGATCAGAGTGGATGTAGCAAGGTCAAGGAACAGCTCCACCTTACAGCTACATCAATTAACTTGCAATTATGCCCTTTCCTCACAGACACCACCTATACACTGAACCGTCCTGTACTTGCCTTACCCTTAGGTCTGGCTGCAGAGTAACAGCTGCAGAGAAACAGCTGCAAGCAAAGCAAAAAGCACAGCTCCTGCCTTTTATTAGCCACCTGGCCTGACCAAAGCCAGTGCACCATGAAACCACAGCCCAAACTGTCTCGGGAGTGCATCTGGTTTGGCAAGCACTGCATTTGGTAGTACTTTTGGTACATTAATAGTTGCATTACAATAAAACACACATAAGAAGAACGTTTCAGCATTGGGTTTTGTTCAAAAACCCAACTCGGTGTGCACAGAGCCCTGCTAAAAGCGCCTACATGAACCACCTCGGCCCAAACGTCACAGGCTGCTCTCCTGAGTGTTTGAAAAGGCACTCCCGGCACAGACGGTGAGGCAAACAGAGGTTGTGGGCAACTGCAAAGGTGTGACACAGGATCAGCTTTTAGTAATTTAAACTGAAGGCCGCGAGTGCATCGTCTTGAACATCCAAATCAGTGAAAAATAACTTCACATGATAAGTAGCTGTAAGGACTTTTCACAAGGACATGTAGTGGCAGGACAAGGGGGAACAGCTTCAAGAGGGTAAGTTTAGATTTGGTATTAGGGGAAAATTCTTTCCTGTTAGGGTGGTGAGGCACAGGTTGCCCAGAGAAACCGGGGATGCCCCATCCCTGCAACTGTCCAAGGCCAGGCTGGATGGGGCTCTGAGCAGTCTGGTCTAGTGAGAGGTGTCCCTACCCCCGGCAGGGCGTTGGAACTGGATGATCTTTAAGGTCCGTTCCACCGAGGCCCCCCGTGCTTGCCCCCAGTCCCTCGGTACCTCCGGTTCCGCCCCGGTCCCGCCGGTCCCGTCAGTTCCGCCGGAGCCGCTCGATTGTCCCGCCAGCCCCGCTGCGCCTGCGCCCTGCGCGGCCTCCCTCACCCCCCCCCCCCCCCCCCCCCCCCCCCCCCCCCCCCCGCCCGGGTGCGGCGGCGCTTCCCGCCGGGCGCGCGTGCGCGGGGCCACGCGGAGGGGCGGTGGGCGGGGCCCTGGGGAGGCCCTTCCCGCCCTTGGGAGGCGCTGAGCGCGCGTGCGTAGTGTTCTTGTACCACACGGCATGGCGAGGCGGGCGCGTGCCGCGCCGCCGCCGAGCGAGAGCGGCCGTAAAGGGAACCTGCGCTGTGCGACAGCGGTGGCGGCGGCAGTAGCAGCGGGCGGCGGGTGAGCGAGGGAGCGGGGACGGGGAGCGGGGACGGGGAGCGGGGACGGGGAGCGGG